AAGTTTATGTTCACTGAATATATTATTTTATTAGATATACTATTGAAAATCAAATTTAATATATTAATAAAATTATTATTTGATGGTCGTGTGAAATTAAAAATTATAAACATTGGAAATATATGCATACATAAAAAAAAAAGATTAAGTTGTAAAAAGCATATTCTTATTATATACTATTTAATAAAGAAAAATGAGTAAATAGGATAATATATATAGTCAAATATCATAATTAAAAATTGTAGCATTTGATAATAATTGAAATATATAATTTATCTAAACATTTAAATTAGATATTAATACACTCATTATATATGTTGAATATATTTAGTAAATATATAAATATATACGAAAAATTTTAAAATAAAAATAAATAGTTTACTATGAAAAAAATGTGTTGCATAAGCGATTAAAGTTACTACAATTTAAATTTAATTATCAAACAATTATTATTTCATGCATCTAAAATTTATTGAATAACGTAAAATAAATTTTACGGTTAAAACATTAGTTAGCTATCGAGCATATGCAAAATATGATTTGTTCAAAAAGTTATAAAATTAAGATAATCAGTAATTTTACAAGTATTTGTAAGCCATTAATTGTATACAAACATCATATTTAATATCTAGATATCGATACTATTTTATAAAATTATAAATAGTAAGATTTATATATTAAATAGTCAAAACCTGTAAAATAAATTATAAAAGATATCTAAATAAAATTTATATTTATCACTGACTTGATATATTGAGTCTGGTACAATTATCATGTTGTATTAAATAAATTAATAATATTTTAATAATAAAATATTAATCTATAGTATACCCCGTGCATCGCACGGGTATCAACACTAGTACTTATGAAATAAGAACAATAATAAAACTAATAAAACTAATTAATCAAATATAAATAATAATTATATGCTAATTCTTATAACGGCAAACTTATAACAACAAATCAATTTAGCATAAAAATAGAGCTCAAACTCTAATTGTCAAATCACAATTCATAGTGTATGACCGGATGAGTCGAGCATAGGGCAAATTTGACCATATAGGAATGCGGATTATATACAGAGCAATTTATATGTTTGTTAATAAAAAAATAATAAGTGGATAAAAAACAGAAAAAAAGAGGGGAATGGACCAACAAAAAAAACACGTATTTACAAAATACGTTTTCTGTATAATTTAATTAAAAAAAGGTATTCACTGAATACGTTTTTCACATTTTTTTTACAAAGGAAAATGTATTTACGGAATACGTTTTCCAAATAATTTTTTCAAAAGTCGTATTCAAGGAATACGTGCTTTTTATTCATTTCCACCTCTTTTTTTCTTTCTTTTTTTTTTTGTCCAGCACTTTTCTTTTTTCTTTTTTGCCGTAAAAAATTCATTATATACATCGATTTTCTCTAAAAAATTATACCTTCTTTCGATCGACACATCCAACATATATGGATGTGTATGTTTATGTGCATGGCTTAATGATAAGAAGCCATAAAATCAAATGAGTGTGGATTATATACTTTTTTAGTGTTGAATTAATATATACTTCTGTTGGAGACTTGGATCTAAACTTTCAACTTGTATGGATACGTACATTTGCACGTCCAGCTTAATGATACGAACCTAATCGAATCTATAATACCCAACATGTATTCTAGCTACATTGGGTCATAATAATGAATATAATAGACCAGATGTAAGATCGAACACTTCCAGTTCCAACTTGAATATAATAAGAAACCCATCAAACTATATGATCCAACACTTCCTACTTGATATGAGATACCATATTCGGAAGAAAAAATACAATAAACTAGTCAACCAGGTCGAACGAACCGGGTGGTCGAAGCCAGAGCAATATGAAGGTTGGTCGCCGACAAGGAGTCTTCAGGTCGAAAGGAACGAGAGGTTCAAAAAGAAGACGGTAAGTCGGGTTAGGGCCCTCGGATGGCTGGTCAGAATCTCAACCTGTAGGGAAGGGTTGGTCGTACGATCAATCAGAAAGGACAACACTTAGATTAGAACGAGTAACATTCTACCTTAAACGACCTCGAGCTGGTTGCACCATTAGGCGGTTTAATATAAAAGATTAAAGGATAAGAAGGAATTTTAAGGGGTTAAGAGCCACACATGGACAGGGTCATGTGGCTTAACAGAATTGGGCAATTCAGGTTGTACTGTTGGGCAGTTTGGGCAGGCCCTTTGAGCAGTATTGGGTAACAAGGTATCATCTCTATATATAAGAGCTAACTTCAACTTCTGACAATTTTAACTGATCGCCTCGGTGAGGGGACTAAGTCTTCTTTTGATGGAACCAGGCCAACTATATTTGAAAATGGATTCCTTTGGGGAGAATTTGAAATTGCGATGTATGCCCAATATCATATTACATTCTCCATTATTCTATATACTTATGTGTGGCTTAATGATTAAAAAAAATCAATTGTAGGATTCGACTCTTCCAATATGTATGGACATGTATATGTATGCAGGTGGTTGGTTTAATGACGAAAAATCAAATTGCATGATTGTACACTTCCAACATGTATGGATATGTATATGTATGTGTACGCGTGTGGCTAGACATGGTCAAATAGCCTAGAAAATCGGGGCATGAACCAGTGGTGCGATAGGCTTCTTATGTGAAACCAAAACTGTCCCAAGGGTTCAGGCCCTCCAGGGTCGATTCGGGGTTGAACCGTGAAAATTAAAAAATGTAAAAAAAAAAAGTGAACTTTTGAATTTTGGTGCCAAAATTGGTCCAAGGGTTCAGGGTCGGGTCTAGGAACAAAAACCATGCACATTCGACAATTCAAAACTTTTTTTAACATGAACGAAAGCTTGATGGAATTTGATTCATGGACAGTGATCAACAATCCGAACAACTTCTTGATCAATGGGCTTTTTGTCGGGTTGGTTCCAAACATTTGTCATGTCTATGTTTGGCTTGATGGGATCGAACACTTCCAATATGCATGGATGTGTATAACAATATATAGACATATGCATACTTGTGTCATGATGTTAAAAGAATCTAGCTAGGACCGAACACTTCCAACATGTATGGATATGTAGTATAACAATATATATACATGTATACGTGCGACTGATGATAAAAAGAACCCAACATGTGGCTTAATGATAAGAAACCTAGTTTGTGGCTTTAATGACATGAAATCACTCATTTGGCTTAAACTACATAGTTAAAGTTGTTTGGGAACGAGTCTAGAGCTGTTAAATTAAACGAGCCATTTGTGAGCTCGGTTCGAGCTCGATTCAGCTCGTTGAATAAACGAGTCAAGTTCGAGTTCATTTAAAGTTCATTCATTTAACGAGCCGAGCTCGATTCCGTAAGGCTTTTATGTATTTTTTTTACAGTTCGACTCGATTTTGGCTCGTTAATGTTGACGAATAAGCCGAACTTGAGCTCGATTACAAATTTTTAAGTTAATAAGCCATGCCGAACTGGATTCCTTAAAGGTTCAAGCTCGAGCATCATGAACTCGAGCTTGACTCATCTCATTTACACCTTTATGAACAACATAGTTAAAGTTGTTTGCAAGAAACGGGTTTGAAGTTCCAATCAATCCCTCACTTGATGAGAAGAAAACATTCATTTCACCTTTGGTCCAAACGACACCTAGTTAACGTTGCGTGGGAAATGACAAGCTACTGTGTTTATTTTGAATTAATAAATTATAAAATTAAAAGGTGTTCTTCAACAATTTTATATTTAACATTTTATTTCGCACTTATTATCGAAAATGGTACGATCCGTTACGGAATCATTCGTTGGGGTTCGTAACCGTTAGATCAACTATTCTGAATGTTATATTATATATATAATGATCTAAGATTACAAATTCCGATGAAATAATTCTCTAACGAGACCGTAGTATTTCTCCTTATTATATTACTTATGCAACAACATTTCATTTATGCCGTCATTTTCGAATATCTCAATTGTCGATATGCCAATTCATTTTTTCACTTAATATTTTCAAAATTACTCAGTTCTCCTACAAATACTTTATTTTTTCAACCATCATTTTTACTTATAAAAACACTAGGCAACTACATATGATATTAATCAATAACATAGACTTATATATATACAATTGTTGGTATATAACATTTCATAAAATTATTTAATAAAATCTTTAAATTTTTCCCTCCACTTTCGATTATAAAATTCATCATTAATATTTTTTTTTCTTCTCACATTAATACATCCTATTGAATGATTCATATTAATACTTTTTTTTTTTACTTCTCACATTAATACATCCTATTGAGTGTAATCTTGTATGTTTCTATTATATTATATAATAGTTATAGTTAATACCAACTAATAATAATTTACAATAAATATAAATTACATAATTATAAACAATTATTTCAAGTTATTTATTTTAACATATATATTATCTTTTTTTATATCTCATGAATATTCAAAAATAATTAATAAATTGTTTTAATACCATAGTAAAACAACTTTAGAATCTTACAAATAATTATTTTTTAAATAATAATAATAATAATAATCAAACTGTTATTATCTAGTGATAATAAACAACTTATCATAATAATACAATCGTTAATTTATTTTTCCTAATGATTAACTTTTTGAAAATATAATATGTTAATATCTAGTATTCTCAAATATTACTTATAATATTTTATGTACATATGTGAACGTGCACAAGATATTTACTAGTTTCCCATAAAAATAGACTATTTAGAAGATACATATTCCAAATAAAAAAAAAGACTATATTTCTTGTAAGAAAATGGAAATTTATTTTTCCAACAAAAGCAAACAGGGGAAGTAACAGAGCACAATACAAACGAAAGAGACGCTTCAACTTCTGCGGATTTTTTCTCTTCTCCACCAAAACAAATGGCCAAATAAATGCAAGAAAATCGAACAAAAAATGAACAATGATAAATTAAAAGCTAAAATCACAAGTAATTTCCATAGGACCGTCACCTCCGGCGACGGGGATGATCACCGTCATCGTCTTCATCGTCCAAATCTGACCCACTGTAATCCTGTGCTTCAGCGTCGTCTACGTCGTCGTCATCCTCATCGCTATCCTCCTCATCGATATCCTCATCAACCATATTATCATAATCATAATTGGGCACAAACGTCCTGGACGCCTCGATCCGCGCGCCGGAGAAACCGAACGGCAGTTGCAGGCCCAGGGGCAGATCGGACGCGCGTGGGTTCAGCTCCC